CCAGCGCATATGATCTCCAAAATAACCATCCATTCTTATATTCCTTTTCTCTCTCTTTGTTTTTCAGATGTGTGGAAACATTGTCCGGTAAATATGTCAGACTTAGGTGCTTTTATTTTTAAGTTGCTGTAAACATTTTATGTTGTTTTAAATATCTTGATTTTGTCTTATGTCTTAAAAATCTTTTTCTTCCCATTTTTATTCATTTAAAAACATTTACCAAGCATTTCTTATGTGGGAAACCAGAATCTGAACATAACCTACCACCCATCCCCATGAAGGTCTCAGTCTAGTAGGGGAGTCAGACACAGAATTAAATCACTGTAGATACAGTAAAATAATAGATCTTATACAGGTACAAGAAAATTACTAGATTTCTCATTTCTTATTCCAAATTTTATTGTTACATTTTTCAGTTTTTTATACAATGGCTAAATTCAAATATATAAACTCTATGATTTTTTTCCAAAGCACTATTAATATTGCTATCATCTTATTATATAAATTTGATCTTTTCATTGTTTTAGTCATGGTTTCATTTTTTTTTACTTTTAATTTTTTTGTTACTCATGATTTTGTGTTGTTATCTTCCTTTCCCCTTTTTATGGCTTTTAAATATTTACTTATTTAATACATATTTGAGGGTAAGTTTTTATGTTAGTTAGTGGTAGTAATAACATGACTTACTACATTTTTGCTGGCTAATTACTCTTTTGGCACTATTAACTATACTTTGAATGCATGTCTTCATTTTGTTACTATTAAACACATCTTTGTAGGTTTATGAGCCAAGGGCAGGCCACCCCAAAATGTGCCACTTTGCTATATTGGTTATTTTGCATTAAACTTACTTAAGAGTCAGCTGGTGTAAGAAGGACACTCTGCTGCACACTTTGTCCCCTCGAAAGCAGGAAATAAATCTCCCATGAAAAAGGTGTCCTCTCTGAACCAGGAAGTAAAGAGGCATCCTGATCACCAGAGATGGGAAATTTAGTGCAGAGAAGGCTGAATAAACTTTTGTTACTTTTTATTAATTTACTACCCCAGCCCAAATTCTGTTTACAATTCCTCACTAATTAAAGCTCCCAAAGTTAAGTTTTCTTTGTTCTGTCAATTCCTTATAGATTTATTGCCTATTTGTCTAAAAAGTATAAAAACTACCTGCCTTGGTCATTTCTTTAGGTCTCAGTTTCAATAATGGATCTCCATGGGCACATAATAAAACTGGGTGTTTTTTTTTTCCTCCTGTTAATCTGTCTCATGTTAATTTAAGCTTTAGTCCAGCTGGAAGAGCTTGAAGGACAGAGGAGGGATTTTTCCTCCTCTACAGAGGCTGCCATTGTGTTTTATTTTGAAATTTAGAAGAGGCTCTTTTTAACAGAAACCACAAGGATGCTTACAGTAAAAGGTATATATCAGACACATTTTGGATTTTCTCTTTTATCCTACAAGTTTACTGTTCCTGTTCCCAGAGTTTTCTTTTCACGTATTTATATTATGTGCTTTTAAACTCTTCCTCTTTTAAACTCATTTGGAAGATAACTCTAGCTCATCTCATTTTCCTTCCATTTTAAAATATTAACATGAGTTTTTAGAACTCTATTTTCCCTCCTATTTTTTTCCCCTGTTTTTAAATTAGCATACTATTTCTCTACTCTCTGAGAAACCACTTCTCCACTCTCTGAGGCAGCCTTCTGGCCTAAACCTCTGTCAGTAGACCTTGTTGATTTTAACTAAAGTGGCTGCAAGTGCCCTTGGGGGCCTCCAACCCTCCCCACAGACCCAGGGGCTACAGATCACTGGAAGGTGGGGCTCAGCCAGTGATCGTTTAATCTCTTCCAACTGTTCCACCTCCCACTTGGAGGACACGCTAGCATCCCTTCTATCCCCAGGTCCTTTTCAACATCAGTGTCCTCTGCAGCTTTGAACTCAACATTCCAGCTCACAGTGTGTACATAAAGGAATTTTGCAGAAAACACTGCCCAGCAGTGAAGGGTAGCGAGGTGAGAAAAGAAAAGGCTTTCTTTGCTACTAGAAGGAGGGTCAGTCTAGAAGTGAAATGGCGCTGACATTCAGCAATTAGCAGAGACCTGATGTGTTCGAGGTCCTATGGGTCCAGAGACAAGTGGACCGAGCAGCAGGGCTATGTGTTGGGGGAGGGGGGGGGCAGGCACATGCTCTCTAAGGCCAGTGAACTGTTGTTATCAGTTCTCTGAGACGTGACTTGGAGGGTTAACCCTTGTGTCTTCTCAGAAAATCTGACAAAGAAGGCAATACATCTGAGAAAGTACATTTTGTACTTTTTGTGGTTTGGAGCAAAGCAGGATATATTGGAGGGGAGGGTGGTATAAACTTGAGACTTTCGGCTCGGTTTTTGCAGGAAGACCTTAGCTCTTCACACTCCTGAGCACCTCCAGTACCCCCATACATGGCTGAGAGTCGGCTCTGCCCTCCAGAGACAGCAAACCCCCTCCCTAGAATGAATGCCACCAAATAAGGGTGCAAATCATAGAAACCGCTTTAACTCCCCAAAAAGCCAGAAAGAGTCCCTGTATATTCACTGCCCATGAGCCTCGAAGTTAAAGGGAGAGGTTGTCTTGTGGTGTCTGTGAGTGATTGAATGAAGCCCAGGACAACGTTTTGAAGAACTGTGTGGAGAGGTGAGAAAAATAATATCAGCACCGTTGGTGTAAATGGACAAACTACGGGCCTCGTGCTGCCCCCCGGAATTCTGAGGGTGCACCTCGCTTCTTACAGTTCTAGCTTATATAGCTGCTCAACAGGATGGCCACATTCCCCTTTCGCTCAGCTTACCCACCTCCTCTCATTTCTCCCATGGTGTGAGGGAACAATGACAATTCACAATTCACGGAAAGGTGAAAGTGGGGGCCTGTACAACCACAGAGAGGGGAGGAATCCATAGTGTCCCCTCGACCAATGGAACTTTATTCCCTGCTTCTCAGGCTACCTGTGGAAAAGGGACAGTTCTGTTTTTTAAGTTTCTAATCCATCACAGCCTGATTCTTTTATAAAATATAAAAATGAATTACTGGAAAAATTAAAGGGCATAATTAGATTCAACAGGCATGAAATGTCTCTGCCAGACTTAATCTCAATTGCAGTACTCGGCTTGTCACAGATGGGTGATAAACGGTTCGCTGACTTGCTCTGGGTTGTGGACAGCCTTGGAGTACCACTTTCCAAAGTTAAACATCCCGAGAGAGTACTGTGATTACCATTTTTAAACACACATTTATTGAAATCTCTCCACACTTCTCTCTCTTTCCATCTTTCTTTCCTTCCCTTCCCTTCCCTTCCCTTCCCTTCCCTTCCCTTCCCTCCCCTTCCCTTCCCTTCCCTCCCCT